ACCTATCAGTCAGTAAAGACAGAGAAACACACGGCGCGGAGGTAATATGTATCTGACATACCTTATCCTTCAGTAGATACAGTTGCGACAGACCTATCAGTCAGTAAAGATAGAGAAACATACGGCGTGGAGGTACTATGTATCTGACATACCTTATCCTTCAGTAGATACAGTTGCGACAGACCTATCAGTCAGTAAAGACAGAGAAACACACGGCGCGGAGGTAATATGTATTTGACATACATGTACCTTATCCTTCAGTAGATACAGTTGCGACAGACCTATCAGTCAGTAAAGATAGAGAAACATACGGCGTGGAGGTAATATGTATCTGACATACCTTTTCCTTCAGTAGATACAATTGCGACAGACCTATCAGTCAGTAAAGATAGAGAAACATACGGCGTGGAGGTACTATGTATCTGACATACCTTATCCTTCAGTAGATACAGTTGCGACAGACCTATCAGTCAGTAAAGACAGAGAAACACACGGCGCGGAGGTAATATGTATCTGACATACATGTACCTTATCCTTCAGTAGATACAGTTGCGACAGACCTATCAGTCAGTAAAGACAGAGAAACACACGGCGTGGAGGTACTATGTATCTGACATACCTTATCCTTCAGTAGATACAGTTGCGACAGACCTATCAGTCAGTAAAGACAGAGAAACATACGGCGTGGAGGTACTATGTATCTGACATACCTTATCCTTCAGTAGATACAGTTGCGACAGACCTATCAGTCAGTAAAGACAGAGAAACACACGGCGCGGAGGTAATATGTATCTGACATGCATGTACCTTATCCTTCAGTAGATACAGTTGCGACAGACCTATCAGTCAGTAAAGACAGAGAAACACACGGCGTGGAGGTACTATGTATCTGACATACCTTATCCTTCAGTAGATACAGTTGCGACAGACCTATCAGTCAGTAAAGATAGAGAAACATACGGCGTGGAGGTAATATGTATCTGACATACCTTATCCTTCAGTAGATACAGTTGCGACAGACCTATCAATCAGTAAAGATAGAGAAACATACGGCGTGGAGGTACTATGTATCTGACATACCTTATCCTTCTCTAGATACAGTTGCGACAGACCTATCAGTCAGTAAAGATAGAGAAACATACGGCGTGGAGGTAATATGTATCTGACATACATGTACCTTATCCTTCAGTAGATACAGTTGCGTCAGACCTATCAGTCTGTACAGATAGAGAAACACACGGCGTGGAGGTAATATGTATCTGACATACCTTATCCTTCAGTAGAACAAGAACAAGTGACATTGCATCTGGGGCAGTGGTTGACCTTCATGATACTTTGAGTCATATGCATGATATATAACTGGAGGGGACTGAGATACTGAAGAAATAACACCCTTTGTAGAGAATTGGGTATCAATTCAAGGATATGAACATGTGGCGAAGGACGTTGGTGGAAACACAGACGTCCAGGGCCAATACAATAACGACTCTACCCTGGCCAACAATGAGCCCAGATTTGAACCCCCTTGAACATATGTGGGATATTCTGGGGCGGCGCATACAGGCACGAGATCCTTCTGTACAATAATACAATATTTACGCCAACTGGATGCAGCATTGCATCGAGCGGTCAGTTTGTTGTAGACGTGTGTGGGTACATGGTGGTGTGTGTGTGCGTGCGTGCGTGCGTGCGTGCGTGCGTGAGTGAATATATGCAGATGCGTGCGTGATAACATGAGGTTCAACATGAGGTGTGTGTGCGTGTGTGTGTATGTAACGCATAAAGTCTTTGAATACCGGTGTGTGTGTTAGAGAGATTATAACTGTGCGTAGATGTACATTTCCCGTTTCTCTCAAACAAACGCTTACACACATAAGTCTTACTGCAGCAGCTTTATGAAACAATCTATTGAATTCTGTACATTGAAAAAATATCGTACCTATCTTGAAACAGAGTTGTTTCCCCTTGCCTGTGCGCGCTGATGATATATAACAAAAACAACGGGTTAAATGTCGACATATGAGTAACGTCCACGTCACAATGAAACGCAAAAAATAAAACGGAACAAATCATTCTTAATGCGCAAGAATATTACATGGAGTCAGAGTCATGGATCTTTCCGGAATCCCCACCCCATCCATAGACTGGGAAAAATCAAACCTGCCTGATGCGTGACGGCGTTTTAAACAGCACGTGCAACTGATATGCGACGGACCGTTAGTGGAAAAGACGGTTTAATCTAAGTGCTCGTACCTCCTACATGTACTTTCAGTGGGAGTAAAAGGTAGATAGATATGTTTACATTACATGGCCTGGCAGTTCTGATGATGACAAAAAGTTACTTCAAACTTACTACACTCGCCACGCAGCATACGTCCAGCCAAAGTTGAATCCTGTTTTCGCAAGGTACAAATTCAATAACGAATTTAAGGGGGTCATCTCACTTGGATCAGTTTGTGACTAGATTAAAGCTGCTCCGTACAGATTGTGCATTTAATGCATCTGATAAAATGGCGAGGGACCGCATAATGTTCGGTACATCATCTACTCAAATCGAGTGGATGCATCCAGGTGTGGTCTAGGTGCCGCTCTCTTACAGGACGGGAAGCCTGTCACTTATGCATCTGTCATTGACCACCACAGAGGTCAATTATTCACAGATTGAAAAAGAAAGGTTTGCTATCCTTTTCGGCTGTAAGCATTTCCATCAGTATGTTTAAGGTCGGCATGTGAAAGTCGAGTACGATCATCAACCTCTCATATCATGAAGAAGCCTCTTGTTGTCGCCCCTGCTCGGTTACAGTGTATGGTAGTGCAGCTACAAAAGGACTTCACGGTTGAACACACGCCTCGGAAGGAAATAGTATTATAAACCTACTGGCTGTTTGTGTAACGCGATATGGAGTTTTTGAAATTGTGGTAACACCTCGTAAGAGGTATTACAACGATTGCAACACCTCGCAGGAGGTATTACAACGATTGTAACACTTCGCAGGAGGGCTTACAAACATTGTAAACCCTTGATAGAACAAAAACTACGAACAGCCTACGAGACGCACGTGCAGATTTCGTGCCATTGCGAGAGGCACGTGCAGATTTCGCACCGTTGCGAAACCAACGTGCTGAGGTCACCGGTTTCACTGAACCGAGTTCACGACTGCAGGCGATATTTCATCTCCGATACAGATGATACATTTGAGAATTTTTTATTACAGTTATTTAATTGTCTATGCGATGAGTCGGTTTAGAAGTTGGACAAACCATGTCTCCTCGAGATTACTAGAGATTGTATGCCCCCTCGGGACGTTCCCTCATTTGAGGGTTTACAATCTCTAGTTATCCCTCGGCGACATGGTGTCTCCTACACGTAGCTGATACACTTTCACACAGTGATGTCTGTGCCTGATACCTTCCCGCACCTGTCAGATGGTATGGACGCTCATAGCCAATGTTCCTGTCAGTGACAAGAAGATGGAGGATATTGGAATAGCCACAGAAGCTGGCCCTCAGTTCTCCTTGCTCCATCAAAGTATCAAAGATGGTTGGCATGAACATACAAAGCAATGTCCAGGGACGATACTTGAATTCTGGAACTTCAGGGACCAGATTGCCTTCATGGATGGTATCATACCATAGGGTCAGACAATTGTCATGCCCATGTCCCTGCGGACAAGTATGATTGACAAAATCCACACTGGATACATGAGTGTTGAAACGCGTCTCCGACATTTTGTTTTGGCCCAAGATGTCCTGTACTCAAGTGTTCTGTGTACCTAGAGAGATGTTACTCTAATCCCAAGGAACCCCGCCACGTATCCCTTGACATTCCCAGTCGTCCTTGGCAGACTGTAGCCACAGACCTGTTTTTGTGTGACAACCATGATTTTGTGGTCGTTGTCGATTATTACAGCAGGTACCAAAAGCACCACTGTTATCAATGCATAATCCGAAGTATGTATCATGTTATTTAGATGTAGTGAATACAGTCACTAGTTTGCCAAGTTCAAACTTTGTTGTCAACAGGACGCATTGGTATATTGCTGACTGCGGCGTTAAACAGTATTCACTCACTCGATCAATAATCAAGAGTTGACATCGGTATCACACTCTTATCGATCGTTTCAGTAGATGTACGGATACGAGTACAAACTTTAGAGGTGGCAATCGAGTCATAGCCAGAGGCTAGATGCCCCACAGTAACATGTGATCCAATTGCATCACAATGCAATTCTATTTTGCACCCGACATTAGTCTTATTTTTAATCTCGATGTTGTAGTGATTGTATTATCTGGCAATGCAAGGACTTATGGGTAAACATATCAGTGATGTTCACTTCAGTATACCCTGCCTTTTAGGGTTAACCAGTTCATTTAACGAGCACATGTGAGTGAGTGAGTGTGTTTAGATTTAAAGTCACATCGGCAATATTTCAGCCATATCGTGACTAAATCAAGTTGTACAGTAATAATACATAAATATAGACTATAAAATCGGTCAGTAAAAACACTAGATTATCACAGGTATAGATTTAAAACTAGTATGTAACCATACATTTTGACTATCCAGAACAATACATTATAAAAAAAGGCTAGAGATCACCAGCAACCAAAGAAGGGACCATGGGACTTAGGGTACATCTGCTTCCTGCATGGTACCCAAGCAGGATTTACATCATCCCTCTGGTGATTGTTAGAACGTTTAAGCCAAAACATTTAAAAACAACAAGTATTCTACGATTAAAACCATGGAAAATGAAACAAGTGAATGAAGTGGGAAACGAGTTAAAACCTACATAAACTAATCAATAGTAATCACAAAGTAGAGAACAGTGTCATATCACCGCAACTTCTGCTTTATGAAACATTATCAGGGCCAATTAGAAATTCGAACCCACAATATCATATTTACTGTGAGCCCAAGTGAGGCAACTCTGCACAGCGAAATGTTGCGAATTCTATGACTGGATCACTCGTACCCCATAAAGCTACAACCAGCATTGTAGAGTGCATTGTATTCTTTATTTACGCGAATGTCCATATACCGACTGTCTTATCAGAGAGTTCCGGCGACCACAGCGACACTTGACATCCGCCCTCCTGATTGGGCAAAGTGGAACTTAGCCTCGTTCTGGTTCTGTTTTAGGAACGAGGCCGGAACTAGATATTGCATCGTCATCCATATGGTGTCGTGATTACCGTTGTTTTGCCGATGTAGGAAGTAAAATGAGTTGAGGGAATTGCCGTTAAGCTGCACCGATGTTGGTTTTGGATTGCCAGTCTTATCACTGAGGCTGATGCAGACTCGCAGATACGCGTACTGGATATTGCTCACATGGCCAAGATTGATGTTGGTGGTGACAACGTTGGTGTGTATTGGTTTTGCAACATCTTGTCCGTAGTGGACAGTTTCCGTAATCGTCTTGCTGTGAGCAAAGTTGAAGGCAGATTGGAATTTAAGATAGCAGCTTGCCTCAGTCGGCAGGGTGACGACTCCGTTGTTGAGGTGGACGCTTGATTCCTTGTCCCGTACTGTAACCTTCTGGGAGTTCAAGTGGACACAGGACATCACTGCCGTAGACGGATTCATCCATCCGTGATCAAACTGGACCTTGACCTGGGTCGGGTGCGTGTCAAAGTTATGCAGAAGAAGTACAACCCTCTTTGAAGTTGGATCCACTAAAGCATGCGATGCCACGAGTCTCTCAGCTCCATGGAATTGACTGTCTGTTCGCAGATACGTCATGCGATTTGAAAGCACCTGCCAGAAATGAAACGCATCGGCTGTGGTTCTCTCGTGGTTGTTGTGGTCCAAGAGACTGTAATCAATGCTGGCTTGCCCCAAACTTTCTTGATGCCCGACAAGGAACGCCACAGCTCTGTCGACCACTCCACGATGATTCAGCATGGTAAACATTTCTGCATTGTGCAGGTACACATAGCCATAATCTATCAGTGGGTTAGGCTTCTGCATATTCACACCCGAGGTCGAAGCCAAACCATAGGCTGAAATGATGATGGGAATCTCCTTACCTATTTTCGAATGGGCATAGCTTTCAATTAGATCTATTAGCCCTACAAAGCGGGCTTCATTAGGACCCTCGAAGTAGTGGGATTCTCCTGCGATGTGCAAATTACAGAAAGGGTGGAACGAGATGAAGTCGAGGTGTTTGACAGCCATGTCCAAAAACTCCTTGAGATTTTCCCAAACCTTGAAATCGTGTTTGTCCACACCTGAAATACCACCGGAATATGCAGGACCTCCAACTTTAACATGAGGTAAAGTTGCCTTGACTTTCGCATTGACGGACTTGTGGTAGTCAGTAATCTGTGTCCAGTTAACGTTGTATTTCCACATAGAGTCGACTTCGTTGACAGGTTCAAAGTATGGCGGTGTGTCACCCTTGCTTCCATCATGGACGGCCTTCAGCAACATGGCAGCCATATCAGCAGCGGCATCCACGTTGTTAGGGAAGTGGCCTTTGTGTTGAGATGTGTCCATCCAGTGTGGCCAGGCATCGGCTAGGGGAGACATATAGATGTATTTAACTCCGGTCGATTTATATTTACTCTGATATATTCTTGACTGTGTGTTATAGTCTTATCTCGAGATCAGGCCATTGGTTCTGGTCTAAGGTGAACCTCTCCTGCATAAACATCACAGTCACATCTCGACTACTAGAAAACGATTGCTTGTTTTACATTCACATTTAGTCTTGTTATTTGAAACATATCTACAAAATATAAAATCCATATGGAGCCCAGACCAATACTAAGGCTATGTAGACTTGCCAAATCTTTCTTGATTCGAGTCTGTTCATTGTTCTCTAGGGTCTACAAGAAAGGCACGATTAGGTATCTTAAAAGACTGTTACGCATTATGATATTTCATTTCGGCAGTTCAGGGATCTTCTTGTGTTCATGTTTGGTATTTCTGTTACATAGTTACGATGTCTTTGAAGCAAATGCAGTCTTTGCATTGTTAAAAGAGTGAGTGAGTGAGTATGGTTTTACGCCGCTTTTAGCAATATTCCAGCAATATCACAGTGGGGGACACCAGAAATGGGCTTCACACATTGTACCCATGTCGGGAATCGAACCCGGGTCTTCAGCGTGAAGAGCGAACGCTTTAACCACTAGGCTACCCGACCGCCCCCATTGTTAAAAGATGTGTGGCAATAACACCTAGACTTTCAAAATGTCATCAAGCTAGAAACAGATCTGACCTCTAAGATCCATCATGATTCCCTTCCCCGGGGTACGTCCGTATCCATCTCTGTTGGCAGAATACTTGGCAGCTATGTTCTGCTGGAAGTTCGTATTCCGGAAGTAAGTTGGATTAGCATAACCCTTCCTGTGAGGATCTTCTGGTGCCTGTACACAGTGGCATGATCAAGACAGAGTTGTTAATCATAGGGATGCTAGAGAGAGTATGTTGTACATCGAGGGTAGTTAACGTTAGTGTGTTGTACACCGAGGTGTGCTGACGTTAGTGTGTTGTCCATCAAGGTGTGCTGACGTGAGTACGTTGTACATCGAGGTGTGCTGACGTTAGTGTGTTGTACACTGAGATGTGCTACCGTGAGTGCGTTTTTCATCGGGGTGTGCTGACGTTAGTGCGTTGTACATCAAAGTGTGCTGGCGTGAGTACGTTGTACATCGAGGTGTGCTGACGCTAGCGTCTTGTACACTTAGATGTGCTACCGTGAGTGTGTTTCCATCACGGTGTGCTACCGTGAGTGTGTTGTACATCGTGGTGTGCCGACGTTAATGTGTTGTACACTTAGATGTGCTACCGTGAGTGCGTTGTACATGGGGGTGTGCTGACGTTAGTGTCTTGTCCATCAAGGTGTGCTGACGTGAGTGTGTTGTACATCGGGGTGTGCTGACGTTAGTGTGTTGTACACTGAGATGTGCTGCCGTGAGTGTGTTGTCCATCAAGGTGTGCTGGCGAAAGTGTGTTGTACATCGGGGTGTGCTGAGGGTAGTGTGTTGTACACTGAGATGTGTTTCCGTGAGTGTGTTGTCCATCAAGGTGTGCTGGCGAGAGTGTGTTGTACATCGGGGTGTGCTGAGGTTAGTGTGTTGTACACTGAGATGTGCTACCGTGAGTGTGTTGTCCATCAAGGTGTGCTGGCGTGAGTGCGTTGTACACCGAGATGTGCTGACGTGATTGTTGAACATCGTGGTGTGCTGACGTCAGTGTGTTGTACATCAGAGTGTGCTGACGTTAGTGTGTTTTACATGGAGATGCGCTGACGTCAGTGTGTTGCACACTGAGATGATATACGTGGATGTGTTTGTGTTGTGGCCAAATATCATCTGTTTATTGTATCAATAATATGGGGGCTATAAAGGCATACATGCAGCAGATTTTGTTCCAGATTCACTACTATGATTTGACATATTTGCAGTGATTTATTATCTTTACTCGTCATAATTTATTTTCTTATCTTCACTGTCCATGACCCTGGCTAGTCGCCATTTTGTTGAAGACGAGCAAACAATAGCTTTTCGTAAACGTTAACTTGTTGCATGCATTAATAAAAGGGTTCAAGGGATATTACGAGTTTAACATTTGTATCAACCCTCGACCTACTCATCTTCATCCAGCTTATCTTACCTTGTAGGGGGCACGGGTGGCCCAGACGCTGTGCAGAGTTGCGTCCCTTGGGCACGCCAGAAACCTATGATTGTTCTTTCGAATGCCGGTTCGCCCCGATTATGTTTCTAGGTTTGTCAGCACCATACCCCTGCTCGTGGGTTTCACCGAAGTGGTAAACGTCTGAATCCTGCATCACTTCGGGCTTTCCTCCCACATTAAGCTGACACGCCGTGATTTAACTGGAACACTGTTAAAAGCGGCGTTAAACCCAACTCACTCACTTACTATCTCACCTTGTACGACCCAGTTATGATTCAGGTAGATATAAAACGTCAACGCCAGAGAATAACCAGTCTCGATTGCCCCACGAAACATATCTCATGGTAATAAAAGGTGAACATCATATTAATGGACAGGTGTTAGCGAAAAAGGTAAGCATATCCCTCCCTACCGGCAACAAAGCAGTTAATATATGACCACACCATCTACCTTCTCAAAGGCTCCAATATCTCCTTTGTTCCAGCGGCCAGCCCTGGCACCAGTTTTCTCCACGTACTGGATGATATCTGAATTATCCAACCCCATCTTGCTGTTCCAGCGATCAGGATCAAACATCTTCCGTCCTCCTTTGAGGACGAAATCCGGAAAGATTGTCACTTTGTATTGACCAGTGACTAGGCACAACATGTTAACTATGACTGCCACACATAGCGACATCTTGCTTGTTGAGAACGACATTGTTTGCAGGAATGTGGGATTGACGGCAGTTGTCCTGTTATATCAGGTGAGGAACGCAGGCGGGTCAAGGTTTATCTGACTCGAAGTTGGCTCGTTTTGAGTGTCGACATGACATGCCGTTTGTACATTGCACTATATATGTTCATGTTCAACTATTTAATCTCTCTCTCCCTCTCTCTCTCTCTCTCTCACTCTCTCTCTCAAACTGCTCTAAGCATAAACCATCAAGAAATTATCTGAAATAAAATAAAAACAAAATAAAACAAGAAAGTGTGTTGACTGTTAAATACACTTTAAATCATAAATGGAAGAACTGCAACAGTAAGCAGATGTAAAAGGGAAGTGTGTACGAAATTCATTAATTGGTATTTTTAGATAATTTGAATCCCTTATCATTAAGATGTCCATCATAAGCAAATGCTTATAAATCAGAGTTAAAAATCAACTAATGGCATACATGATGACGGCTTTGCCGAATTGGAGACAGCAGTATTTTTCAAAGTAGCCGAATTTAAAAATCACTCTGTACATCATCAAAATTGAAGAGCAGAATGTTCTTTAACCGAAAGTTGGTTAGAACAATTAAAGAATACAAACATTAATATGAGGTGTGGAAATACCTAAATACCAATGTGTGTCACGAACGCAACAGTTATCTTAAACACACACACACACACACGCACGCAAACACACAGACACACACACAGGCACACGCACACAGACACAGGCGCACAGACACACAGACACACACACACACACAGACAAACACAGACACACACACAGGCACAGGTATGCAGACGTTTACAACGTCGGTGAAACCCACGAGAACGGGTATGGTGCTGACAAACCAAGAGACATAATCGGGGCGAACCGGGCTTCGAACCCGCAATCATAGGTTTCTGGCGTGCCCAAGGGACGCAACTCTGCACAGCGAATCACGGCACCTTAGACGACTTGGCCACTCGTGCCCCTTCAGGTATTTTGAAGTCTGACCGCAGGTGTCTTGAAGTTTAAGTATTGTCTTCTGATCAAAATCATGTTGCTTCAGTCATCCCATTGACTCATTTCATTTAATACTGTTTAAACCATGTGTTACGATGTGTAATTCTGATCTGGAAATGTGAGGGTTGGTTGGTTGGTTGGTTTGTTGTTTAACGCCGCACTCAGCAATATTCCAGCTATATGACGGCGGTTTGTAAATAATCGAGTCTGGACCAGACAATCCAGTGATTAATGTCATGAGCATCGATCCACGCAATTGGGATCGATGACATGCATCAACCAAGTCAGCGAGCCTGACCACCCGATCCCGTTAGTCGCCTTTTACGACCTGCATAGTCGCCTTTTACGGCAAGCATGGGTTGCTGAAGACCTATTCTACCCCGGAATCTTCACGGGTCGGAAATGTGAGGGATCTGCAATTTCTGTATTGTTTAGTATCATCTTACACAATCAGCTTTACAACATTCTAAACCGACGTGTCCCAACGTAATCTGCATCGTATTTGTGTGGTTAAAAGAAAGTAAACTTTTCAGTTAAAATATTACATTATTGCGGAAATCTCGGCGGTTTGATATCAGACGGACAGACAGATTGACAGACAGACAGGCAGACTCTATGATAAATTAACCGTTTGTGCTGAAAGACGTTGTTCCCCACTTAAAGAGTTCATAAGCAATTAAAAATACGTATAAGATTCATTATATGACAGCAATAATGATGTGCACTCACGTAAATAAGAAATATTTAAATCGTCACGTACAGGGTTGAGGGGAGTATTCAGGTAGAAGGTATCACCTTCTCACATACAGGGATGGTGATTATAAAGGTAGAAGGGTATCAACTTGTCACATACAGGGATGGGGATTATACAGATAGAAGGGTATCACCTTGTCACATACAGGGATGTGGATTATACAGATAGAAGGGTATCACCTTGTCACATACAGGGATTGGAATCATCATTAAATGTGCACAGGTCATTATTGGAGATTGAATCCTCAGTTATTTTATCTTTATTGTTAATGCTTGAACCAGGGTTGTCGCCATTTAGATCACCCATGAGTGAGTGAGTGAGTGAGTGAGTGAGTGAGTGGGTGGGTGGGTGGGTGGATGGATTGGTGAGTGAGTGAGTGAGTGAGTGAGTGAGTGAGTGAGTGAGTGAGTGAGTGAGGTTTTACGTTGCTTTTACCAATATTCCAGCAATATCACAGCGGGGGACACCTGAAATGGGCTTCACACATTGTATCCATGTCGGGAATCGAGCCCGGGTTTTCGGCGTGTCTAGCGAACGCTTTAACCATTAGGCTACCCGACCATCCCCTCGGCTTGGAGATTGGTGTTAAGTACATGTATAACAGGGCTATGAATAACATCTTGCTTAACAATAATTGAAGATCATCCAATGACCCTATCCCCAGGAGGAGAAAAAAAATGATATGCCTGATACTGACGTAAATTAGATGATCGGTCTATTTTAGATACATTTCCTGTAGGCAGAATGCTGATGCTTTAAATTCCTGGACTGACAGATGTAATTCATTGACGTTAGTCGTTAGTCCTCAGTCATCTACTATTCCACTGTATGATATTATGGGAATAAACTATCTCTTTGGTGGATGCATGGGGGATCTATCCCGTACTTGGTGGGCAGCAAGCTGTGTGGCCTAGGATGGATGCTTCAGTCACATCCATGTCTTCAAGGGATCCAAATAGTTGGATCTGGTTAATTGACCCCTTAGAGGCTCTTCCACTTTTACATTGTTTTGAAGGATGTGTTCATGGTTTGATTGTGCGTTTTACAGCTTCACATTTGTTGCAGCTTCACATTTGTTGCAGATTGAGTTTGTTGAGCGGACTGAGATGGTTATTGTTCCTGAGATAGAGAAGATGACTTTGTATGAACTGGACAGAGAACTGGTGTGTTAGAGAGGGATTCTGGAGTTTGAGTAGATTTTTCTTGTGAGTAAACTCCGGGGTGTTTCTGTGTGCACCCACGTCAAGTCTATCTGGTAGTTTATTGACAAAGTGATTAATTTGGGGGTTCTTTCGGATGATGTTCTGGTGACATTTGCATAAGTTTCATTTAATTCCGGAGCTAGAACGTGTGGGTTTTTTTCATCATTTTATTGATTTTCATTTGTTGTTTCCAGATAGGACATATTTTTAAGAAGGATGAATGATTCCCCAAACAGTTTGTGCTGTCACAATCGTAGGTTGTATGTGTTTTCTTACAACAGTGGGCACACGTGACAGACAACGTGCCAGTGTTGACGCCATGACCGTATTTTTGGCATTTCAAACATCTTAAAGGAATGGGGATGTAGATTTCAACATTTATATTGCAGTAACCTACCTTTAGTGATTTTGAAGCATTTAGAGACGAAAAGGAAAAGAGGTATGTGTTAGTTGGTTCCGGTAAAAAAAAAATCGGGTTGTGGTTTGGTTTGGTTTGGTTTGTTATTTAACGCTGCACTCAGCAATATTCAAGCTATATGACGGCGGTCTGTAAATAATCGAGTCTGGACCATAACGGGTTGTGAATTGTTTTACATACAGAAAAACCTTGGTCTCTCATTTCAAATACGATTTTAGTTTCAGTAATGTCTGCGAACAAGTGGTCCCTGTCTCTCATAATTCCTTTGCTGGTGTTGAGAGTTCTGTGAGCTGTGACTACAACTGGAATGCCGACACACCCTTAGATATTGCAAAGATGTTCAGCTTGAGAGGAGTCTTGTCAGTTGTCTCAATCACAAGGAATCGTGGACAATATTCAGTAGATGTTGAAGGATGTTGGTCAGCATCATTATCAAATGGACGGGTTTTTTTTGTTTTTTAGGGGGTTTCATAATCCATGTTGAGTGTATTGTGTTTCATCATCCGAGCTCCCCACCCATCATGGAGTATCATAAAGCCAATGCTACGAACAGGTGGCTGTCCGACATGCAGCACAATGTATACATGGAAGACATACTCAAGCAGAAGAATTAAGAGTAAATATGCTACCTGATTGGTCCATGAGCCACCGTCTTCTGGGCATACAACTCTAGGCAAATTACATACATAATACATATTTACATTTGAAAGTCAACTAAGACAGTATTAGTTGTAAATATGACCAAACCTCAAGGACAACAAATACATATACATATACAATTTGAAAACACAATTTGTGCAAATACAATTTTGAATGACAAGCCGAGGATCGTGCTTATCCTACCACCTGTCTAGGCGAAGTAAGGGTCAAAGTGGTGTATTGGGCAAAGGAACACTGTTCCTGGAACCAGTGCGCTTAAAACCACCAGAATCCCGTTCACCACCGACACAGGGACCCAACCCACGACAAACGGGTTGCCCAATTTGAAGTATTTTTAACGTCAACCTATCAAGAAATGTTTGGGCGAACGGTGGATAATCTTCCTGTAAAATTTACATTTATGCGAATCTTATGTGCAACATCATTAAAAGACTCATGAGGTTTCTGACGTAGATCACGGAGTACCCTTGCACCTGAAATCATGACTATGATTCACCAGCAAAGTTATGGTCGGAATCTTACTATGAACTCTGTCAAGAGATATTACTTATTAAGATGGAAAGGGTTTTTCACTTTTATTTATTCTACATGAGAAGTGGAATGTGTGCAGTGTCTGAGTCCATATCTTAAACAAATAGCCTTTGCCAATGAATGCTTGGAAACTATGTTCTTAAGGTTTCACAATAAAAATATCATCCATCAAACACGTTGCATCTTCTGAAAACTAATGGCGAAGTAGTGATTCACCTCTCTGCGTCAAGAGACTCATTTGAGAAAGAGTGAAATACACGTTCTACAGCAACATCTCAAAGTGAGTAAGCGTTTAATGTCACATAGTTACTATTTCAGTCACATCATGACTACAACATAGCATACTTTAATAAATGTGCCATCGAAAGACAGTAAAATACATTGACTTTCACAGATTTGATTTTAAAACTAGTATATAACCAATTTATTAAGTTCAAGGTGTATATATGAGAGGAATGACTGTGGATCCAAC